TGTCACACCAGCACTACCAAGAGAGAGAGAGAGACCCAAGTCTCTACCAGCTAAACTCCAACCACCACTAGACAACACTGCAGTGCGCACACACACGCGCGCGTGCACGGCGGAGCCAAGTATTAGTGCCGGGGCGGGGGTGGGTGGGTGTTCGGTGGGAGGGGCTACCTCAGCGCTTCCACGCACGTATCGACCGGTGGCGGCGCCACGTCTGCCTGCTGCCGCTTCTCCTCGGCAGGTGGCGCCACGATGAAGACGTCGTCGGCGGGCGACGGTGGCGCCTCCTGCTGGTGCTCCAGCTGTTTGAGCTGGTCGCCCGATTTCTTCTGCGAAAGTCTGTGAGACACAAAGACACTGCGTGACGAACAACACCAGGGGGCGCATGCAGACAACAGGGGGCGCCACGCGACTGCACCCGCCGCCGGCGGCGGCGACTAGTCGACGGACGAAGCCTCGCGAGCGAGTTATCGGTTGGTCGCTCCTGGAGGCTCGTCCGGCGACTAGTAGGTGGCGCCATCGCGTGACGTTAAATACAAATAAACGCCTTAGACGTGGCGAGCGAAAACGATAAAACACACGAGCGCCTAAAACGAACGACGAATCGACAGACGGGACGGCGACGCCGCGGTCTAGAGCGCTCACGTTCGCTTGTTTTGTCGCCCGCACTCAGAGAGACCGCGACGTTGCCGTCCCGTCGCCAGTAGCAACAAGCATGCTCTTGTGTAAGATAGCTGTCGGTAGCAACACAGGGTGTGTCGCTACCAAACAATAATACAGTAATACCATAATACAGTAATACAATAATACAATAATACAATAATACAATAATACGATGAAACAGAGCGCAGCGAATAGCCGATTAGCTCTCTAGGTAGATACACGATATGTATCAAGAGTACATAGTAGAGATGAACTCCTTCATGTACTCTGATATGTATGTGTCATACACGCGAAGTTAAGCAGTTACAGCGACAACAACAGTATAGGTGTGCGAAGAATAGACGAAAATGTACCACGTACACTGTACGTAACGATGATCATACAATAGTATTGTACAATAATTATGTCAGCGTAATGTTAAAGTAGAGAGAAAGAGAGTGGGTGAAAGGAGACAGAGAGAGAGATAGAGAGAGAAAGAGAGAGAGAAGGGAGAGGGAAAGAGAGAGAGAGGTGAGAGATACCGAGAGAGAGAGAGACAGAGAGAGAGAGAGAGAGAGAGAGAGAGAGAGAGAGAGAGAGAGAGAGAGAGAGAGAGAGAGAGAGAGAGAGAGGAGCGAGAATGAGAGAGAGAGAGAAGAGAGAGAGAGAGAGAGAGAGAGAGAGCCCGAGCAGAAAACAAGAGAGAGAGAGAGGAGAGAGAGAGAGAGAGAGAGAGAGAGAGAGAGAGAGAGGAGAGAGAGAGAGAGAAAGAGAAGGAAGAGATGGAGCAGGTCCTGTAAAACAAACAAATGATGACCAAACTACAGGCATCAACGATATAACATGCAAGCCATGACGTATGCTAACATACCATGATGCATTCTACTACCATAACAATGATGCATGCTAGTAAATCCATCGATGTAATGTTAACATACTATGATTGCGGCATCTCTCCTACATCATATGATGTATGCTAGTAAACCATTGGCGTATCCAATACCATGAGCATTCTACCATATTCAATGATGCACGATACCTAGTAGAACCAATGATGCATTCTAGCTCAAGTCATGATGTATGTCTAAGAAAACCATGATTGCATTCAACGCATATCATGCCACATGCTAGAAAACTGTGATGAATGCCTAGCATAAATTATGTATATTAGCAATAGCGATGTATTCTAGCAAAGCACGATGGCATAGTGATTAGACAGATGTGATGGATCAGCTGAAGAGCCCTGGCAACCAACAACATACACGTACACAAATGCAACGCCACGCACGCAACATGGACACGTGCACCATTTCAAGGCAACGCCCCCGCATTCAAGCACGCACGGCACGCACGCACGCATTCAAGCACGCCAGCACGCACCACGCATTCACGCACGCACGCATGTCACGCACCAGGGCACGCATTCACGCACTCATTGCTAGCACGCACGCACGCAACGCACGCTCGCGACGCACGCGAACGCACGCACGCACGCATCATTCTAGCAACGCACGCACGCACGCCGCACGCACACTCATTCTAGCACGTCACGCACGGCAACGCGACGCACGCCGCGGACGGATATTCAACGCTGCACGGCACAGCACGCAACGCGACAGGCACAGCACGCAAGCGCACGCACTCATTCAAGCACGCACACCGCACACATGCACACATGCGATAAAGCCGACAATGCAAAAGCGCATGAATGCACACAGCAAGCGGCGCGACGTCGAGGCACGAGCGTAGCGCCCTCTAGTGGTCCATGCTAAACTGCTTGCAGCGCAGCGTCAAAATCGCGCCGATGGTTGAGAGACACCTGCCCACCAAGATGGCGCTGATATAGCATGCGCGTCGCGGCAGGCGGCGGCAGAGTCCAAGAGAAACAATGGGTCATCGCCGCCGCCGCAACTCTCCACCCATCGCCGCCTCGGCCTCGAGTGCTAGGACGAGATTCGAGTGGCAGACCGCGAGAGACGGCGGAGCGCGTTTCCACGGCAGAACAGAGGACAGCCAGGAAGCTTGTGAGAAGCGATTCCTCAGCGCGGGCCAAAATCAAAATGTCAAAAGTTAAAATTCCGATATCAAAACTTTCAGCGGTTCAAATCACTCACGAGCCGGCGACTGCTGCGTCGGTGGCTGGATGAACCTGGCAGCAGGCGCCACCTGGTGGCTGAGAAGTGTCGTCGTTCGCAATCGTGCCTTAGTGAGTGTAGCCGAGGCATGTAAAGGGGAGAGGGGGAGAGCAAGAGAGGAGGGGGGAAGAGAAGAGGGGAGAGGAGAGGAGGGAGGAGACGAGGGGACAGGGGGCAGGAGAGGGAGGAGAGGAGACAGGGATAGGGGAGGAAGGGGGAAGAGGGTAGGAGAGGAGGAGGGGGGAGAAGCGAAGGGAGCGAAAAGGAGGAGGGGGAGGAGGGAGGAGGGTAGATGAGGAGAGGAGGAGAAAAAGAGGGGGAAGAGGGGGAGAGGGGACGCGGGAGGAAAGAGGGGAGGGGAGGAAAGAGGGGGAGGGGTGGGAAACTCGCACGCAGTGCACTCACGCGAGACTGCCGAATCAAATTAAATTACGAATTTGCATGTTAAATGAATCGAAAATTGACAAATTAGTGTGGCAACAATCCCTAACCACACTGCTCTCTCTCTCTCTCTCTCTCTCTCTCTCTCTCTCTCGTCTCTTCTCGCCTCATCTCGTTTACCTCATCTCTCTCTCTGCTTCTCTTCTCTCTCTCTCTCTCTCTCTCTCTCTCTCTCCTCTCTCTTTTCTCTCAATCCGCTCTTTCTCATCTCATCTCTCTCTCTCTTCCCCCCTGCTCTCTGCCTCTCCTCTTCCTCCCTCCCTCGTTATACTCCATCTCTCTCCCTCCTCTTTCCTGCTCTCGTCTCGTCTCTCCCTCACTCTCCCCTCGCGCTGTCTCTCTCAGTCTCACGCTCCAGATCTCTTTCTCCCCTCATCTCATCTCTTTCTCTCTCTCCTCTTCGCTCACTCCTCATCAGATCTCTGCTCCCCATCTCTCACTCACTCTCCTTTCTCTCTCTCGCTCTCACTCTCTCTGCTCCTCCCATCTCTCTCTCGCTCTCTCTCTCTTCGCTCGTCTTCGTCTTTCTCTCTCTCTCGCTCAGCCACTCTCTCTCTCTCTCTCTCTCCTTCTCATATCTCCCCTCGCTTCTCTCGTCTCCTTCTGCTTTCTTCTCGCTCATCATTCTCTCTCGCTCTCGCATCTCTCTCTCTCTCGTCCTCCTCCTCTCTCTTCTCCTGTTTCTCTCTCTCCGCCTCACTAAACTCTCCGCCCCCTTTCTCCTTTCCTCTTCGCTCTTCGTCCCCGCCTCTCTTTGCTCTCTCTACAATTTCTCTCGCTAGATCTCTCTTCCCTCTCTCTCGTCCTCTCCTCAGTCTCTCGCTCAATCATATTTCTCCTCTCTCTCCCCTCTCCTCAATCGCTCGCTCACTGCGGCTCTCTCGCCTTCCTCGCGCTCTCCAGTCGTGTCTCTATCTCTCTCCTCTCGCTC